CCACCTTTCATGTTGTGAATGAGAAATTAATATCTTTTCTCCCGACAGCCAGACTCTACTTTCATATTAAATACCATACAACTATTGAACATACAGAAAACATAATAATCTAGAAAATATATAAAGCAAGATTTGGATTACCTGGTTTGGAGAAAACTGTAGAGTTGGAAATGATGAGGACTGCTTTTGATCTAGTCTGCCAGATTTGATTATTTTTTTTTTACAGTGTCTCATTTTTATTATTGCTTTTAGATACCCTCCAAGTCTGACCTTCTGCCCCTTACTTTTGTCTTTGTGTTCAGATCAATGATTTGAAGTATTTGCTTTCAAATCACACTGGGTTCGAACTCCCAACTGTATCAAATATTCAGGTGTGTCATCTTGGGCAAACTGCTTAACTTCTGTAAGGTCCAATTTCCTCACCTGTAAATGGTGATGGTGATCCAATCTCAGAAATGTTGCACGTAAATGACTTAATATATTTGGACCACTTAGCTCAGATCAGTTATGAATAGAATGCATTCAGTGGTGGTGGCTGTGGCTAATAATTTTCCTAAGGCGTGAGTGTCATGTTTTGCTGGTGATTTGGTATTTATCATTCTATTCTTGGTATTTGGTAATTTGGTAGTTATCATTCTATTGGTAGTTATCATTCATTCTATTGATTTTTTTTATTCCCCCCCCCAGTTGATTATCTTAAGATAAACACCTTTAAAATTTAATGTTGATGATTTGCTGCCACCTACAGGCTAATGTAAAAAAAGCAGCACATGTCATTTCCATCTTTCTTAGATAAAATCTCAGGGGCATCTTGGCATTCCTGAAGCCAGCTGTGGGTAACTCCATAGTCTCCTTTTCTGAGAGATTTCTTTTTCTTTTTCTTTTTTTTGTCCTTGAGACTCAACCAGTGTGCTTATGAGAGATTTATTTCCCTTGGGAGCCTGAGTACTTGAATAGTATCAGAATCCTCTTAGATTCTTTTTGAAATTTGGCAATATGCAGAAAGCACCATTAGCAATCGGTTATTGTATTTTGCCCCTTGTTTAAGTAGATTTGCAAAATAGTGTTTATTAAAAAGCATGAAAAAGTGTTTGCTGTTAAAGGCATGGTTTAGTACTTGAGTTTTGTTTGTTTTATTTTGGGATCCGGTTCTAGTTGGAAAACTTGGAAGTGTGTTGAGCAAAACATTAAAAATAAATAATGTTTATAGGTAACTCTGTAATGGTTCTTACTACATTACATTATGTGATTATTACTTGTATGCTTGTCTCCCATCCTCAATTTCATGCTCCTTTTGTCAAAGAATATGATGTACAGGATAAATTTGCAAGCACACATTTGCAAGCTCCTCAGAAATGGTTTCTTATAGTACACAGTGCGGCACCTTGTTCACAGTTTGATTTGGCAGGAGTTGGAATAAGAGGTGCCAATGCCGGATAGCAGGAGATGGGTCCAGTAAGGCTTGTGTGCCAACCTAAGGGGCTGAACTGTGTCATAAAAACAGTATGGAACAGTAAGGAACCACTAAAGGATTTTAAGCTGAGGGAGGACATCATATTTCTTTCTTTCTTTTTTTAATTTCAGAATATTGTGGAGGTACCGATGTTTTGGTTACATGAATTGCTTTTGTACAGTTTGAGTCAAAGTTATAAATGTGTCCCTCACCTATATAGTGTGCACTGTACCTGTTAGATGTGAATTTAGCCATCCCCCCACCTGATTTCTGTTGAATTTTATAGTCACAGGTGCACCTGAGTGTTGATCTGTAAGTTTCAATTTGGTAGTGAATACATATGGTTGTTTTTTTTTTTTTTTTTTAGACAGAGTCTCACTTTGTTGCCCAGGCTAGAGTGAGTGCCGTGGCATCAGCCTAGTTCACAGCAACCTCAATCTCTTGGGCTCAAGCGATCCTACTGCCTCAGCCTCCCGAGTAGCTGGGACTACAGGCATGTGCCAGCATGCCTGGCTAATTTTTTGTATATATATTTTTAGTTGGTCAGTTAATTTCTTTCTGTTTTTAGTAGAGATGGGGGTCTCGCTCAGGCTGGTTTTGAACTCCTGACCTTGAGCAATCCACCCGCCTCAGCCTCCCAGAGTGCTAGGATTACAGGCATGAGCAACCACGCCCGGCCTACATATGGTTTTTGTTCTTCAGATTTCTATCATAGAAATTGACTTGGGCAGTCCCTTCAAAGATATTTTATAGGAGACCACAGAAGCAATTATTCATTGAGCTTTTCTACCTATTAATTGTATCTTTCAAGTATTGTGTGTGCATTCATCAGCTTAATCATATTGTGTGTGCCAGTCCAATTTGTAGATTTTCAATTGTTTTATTTGTATTGCTTGATGCCTTTAACAATTCTGTAAACACTTTCCAGGTAGATGCTGTTTTGGTACTGTCATGCTGGTGATTATTGTTATTACAATTATTAACTACCATGAGCCAGTTAGTATACAATAGACCCTGTACAAGTGCCTTTGTAACTTGTACACAATGTACATACACATTATCTCATTGATGCATATAGTTCTCTTATGTTTGCCATGATGCCGGCTGCTTGTTCAACGGCGTGGTTATTCTCCTTGGTTTTTCTTCTCTGCATCTGCTGCCTGGCGTCTTGCTTTGGGCAGGATGCCACATTGCTGCTTTGGCTGAACTGACACTTCTCAGAATTGTCCTGGGAGGTGGTGGGGAACAGTCGCAATGGCTGAGTTACTCCTTGGCAGGAAGAGGTGAATAGCAGGCAGAGGAGGAAACCTTTCTCTGGTCCCCCGTGCAAGAAATGTATTGCCAGAGGAGCCTGCGAAATCCCAAACCTGTGACATGAAAATGGATGGGCAGAATCACTGGCTGGTGACAGTGGCCAATAAGCACTTGCCTCAGGCATACAATTTAAGGGGTGCTAAAAAAACTCAGTCGTCAAATGATATGTCAGTACAATATTTTTAAAAGGTCAAAATGAATGCAACAAAAAATTCCATGATGAATAAAATATTACAATTTTAAATAAAGACGGGATCAGCAACAGGGCATAGGTGCAAAGTCATTTTGGAGCCCGAGGTGAAGGAAAATATCAGCAAACTGATCCAGTCTGTTTAAAATTTTGGTATTTTGTTCATCATGGATTTTTTTTTTTTTTTTTTGCCGGCGTCAGTTTTTTCGGGTGGTAGGGTGAGTGTGTGTGGCGCAATTGTGTTCTGGTCTATTTATGGAGTGAGGGCGGGGGTCTCGACTTCTGTGCTGCAGGGCTGTTATCGAAGACTCCTGAGCCTCGGCGTAATCTGCCCGCCTCAGCGGCGTTTCCCAGAGTGCTGAGGGTTGTGACAGCCGGTGCATGAGCCACTGCACCTGGGGTGCATCATGATTTTGTTAAAATTAGGACTTTTGATTTTAAGACATAGTTGCAGTCAGAATTATTTATGTTGAGTGTTTTGGGTA